GGTCGATGCGTGCTAATGAGCTGGAAGCAGCAGCTGTATCTGGTAATTACCGGAAGCTCTTCCAACTCATCCTAGCCACTGGCAGCAAGAAGTCTGATGTCAGCGAAACAATCTGCGAGGATGATGGGATGCCAATCACTAACATCCATCGACGTCTTGGACGATGGGCAGAATTTTTCGAAGGGCAGTTCAACTGGCCTGCTGCTCCGGCAACATCGGTCAGACTGTCCTGCCCTCCATGGCCGGTGACGACTGATCCACCAAACGAGGAGGAAGTCCGCAAGGAACTCCAACTCTTGAAGCGATACAAATCACCTGGCCCAGATGACTTACCTCCGGCTCTTTTTAAAGATGGTGGTGACTTTTTGACTAAGGAATTGACGACGTTGTTCACAAAGGTTTGGGAACTAGAGAGTGTACCAACGTCATGGAATGAGTCGATAGTTGTCCTTATCTTTAAAAAGGGTTCACGTCGTTCCTGTAACAACTATCGGGGGATAAGTTTACTTCCGATTGCGTCCAAGCTATTGGCTTCCGTCATACTTCGTAGGTTGTTCAAAACCCGAGAAAGATTGACTGGCCAGGAGCAGGCTGGGTTTCGTTCTGGTCGAGGATGTATTGATCATATCTTCACCCTCCGCCAAATGTTAGAACACCGCCATACTTATCAAAGGCCAACAATCGTAGTGTTTCTTGACATCAGGGCTGCCTTCGATTCGTTGGACAGAACTGTTCTCTGGGATTGTCTATTGAAGAAGGGTGTGCCTGAGAAGTTTATTAACATCCTAAAAGCCCTATATAAAAACACCGCAGGCAGAGTGAGGGCATACAACCACCTATCTCCATTGTTCCATTCGAGTAGTGGGGTTAGACAGGGTTGCCCAATCTCACCATTCCTCTTCAACTTTGCCATCGATGACATTCTGGAAACAGCTCTGATGAATGTAAGTAATGGTGGTGTGGATCTGTTGCCTGGAGAAAGACTTCTCGACCTTGAGTATGCGGACGATATTGTCTTACTGTGCGATAATGCCCAAGGCATGCAATCCGCACTTAATCAGCTGGCAGTCAGTGTCCGTAGGTATGGTATGTGCTTTGCACCTTCGAAGTGCAAAGTACTTCTACAAGACTGGCAGGATTCCAATCCTGTACTCACCCTGGATGGTGAGCAGATAGACGTAGTCGAGAAGTTTGTGTATCTGGGTAGCTGTATAACTGCTGGTGGGGGTGTGAGTGATGAGATCAATGCACGAATAGTGAAAGCCAGAGCGGCTTATGCCAATCTGGGCCATCTATGGCGCCTTCGTGATGTTAGTCTGGCCGTAAAAGGTCGGATCTACAACGCGTCGGTGAGAGCAGTTTTACTCTATGCTTGTGAAACCTGGCCTCTCCGAGTTGAGGACGTTAGACGACTCTCTGTGTTCGATCATCGCTGTCTCCGAAGGATTGCTGACATTCAGTGGCAACACCATGTCAGTAATGCAGATGTTCGGCATCGTGTGTTCGGGCACAGAGATGATAATTCAATTGGTGTTACCATCTTGAAACACCGACTTCGGTGGCTTGGACATGTTCTCCGAATGTCGTCCCAGAGAATTCCACGTCGTGCATTATTTGCCGACTCTGGGACTGGTTGGAAGAAGCGGAGAGGTGGTCAGTGCATGACATGGTGTCGTGGCATGAAAGAAAGCTGCAAAGGACTGGCGTGTGTTGGTTCTTCACGACTCCCTGGTTGGGGTCTGAGAGATGGTGCTACACAGTGGCTAGAGACGTTATCAGATATGGCTCAGAATAGAAGCCAGTGGCGATCCTGCTGTAACCTTCTTTTACTTTCTTCATAAAAAGTGGTTGTGTCTTCCCTAACTGAAAGATTTCTTCTGATTGTACCTTGTCGTTCCGTCGTTACTACCACACTACCTTACTCCAATCTCTTCGTCATTATTCTCTTTTTCTTTTGCGTTCCTTAGTTTTTTTTCTCTTTCTACTTCTCTTCGAATTCCCATTGTTTTGTGGCGCATATATATTGGCGCTCTCTTGTACCAATATTTATGTGTTCAAATAAATAAATAAACGCATCTGCTTGCGCCTCACTGGACGCAAAAAAGCCACAGTAAAAAGACCCATTAGAACTGGATTGAGTAGCGAGAAAACCAAAAGTAGGTTCCAGGAACAACTGAGGTCATAATTAGGTAGTTCTGAAAACGCGGTTGACCCAGATGTTGCTTGGAAAGCTATACAAACAGCTGTGGAAATACCAGTGACATCTATCAGTGATTTAAACCACAGGGTTACAAAGAACCAATGGATTTCCTCTAGGTCTATTACACTGATGGATTCTCGTAAACTCATCCCATCAGGCTCTGAACACGATGAAGAGTGAAAACAAATCAGGTCTAGGTTAAGAAAAAGTCTAAGGAACGACCGTGAGACGTGGTGGGCAACGAAAGCAAAAGAGATGGAAAAGGCGGCGGCTATAGGGAACACAAGACAGCTCTTCAGACTCATAAAAGAAACTGGAATTAATAAGTCAAATGTAAGTCAGACTATTTCGGAAAAAGACGACATGCTCATATGCTCCCAGTCCAGACGTTTAGAACGATGAGCGGAACATTTTAGAGAACAGTTCAGCTGACCTTCAGCTACTCTACAACTATCCTCCATTCTCAGAAAGTGTGAATGGAACATTGAAGTAGATCCCCCAACTCTTGCTGAAGTTCAAAAGGCTATAGTTAATCTGAAACGAGGAAGGGCAGCTGGTCCAGATGGATTGGCTCCAGATGTCTTTAAGGATGGTGGTCCAATTTTAGCGATTAGGTTGACTAATATTTTAGCTAAGATCTGGGAGTTAGACGTTATTCCATCTGACTTGTCGCAATCACTTATCGTCCCAATATATAAGAGAGGGTCAAAATCATCCTGTAACTACCATAGAGGGATTAGTTTAACTAATATACTATCTAAAATACTAGCCTCGATAATTATCAGACGCCTAACTAATACTCGTGAACTGCAAACTCGAGAGAATCAAGCTGGCTTTAGACCTGGTCGTGGCTGCATCGACCACATATTCACCATTCGTCAGGTTCTAGAACACAGGCATACTTATCGGCGTCCGACAATCGTGGTCTTTCTTGACTTAAAAGCAGTATTTGACTCGGTGGACCGCGAGATTTTGTGGCAGTGTCTGTCATTGAAAGGCGTACCTCAGAAGTACGTAAAGTTTGTGAAGGCTCTTTACTCAAACACTACCAGTCGAGTCAGAGCTTATGGCAAACTGTCATCTGATTTTGCAACCTCAAGTGGTGTCCGTCAAGGCTGTACACTTTCTCCATTTTTGTTTAACTTCATCATAGACTTATTGATGGAAATAAAATTCTCGTCTACTGAATTCTCGGGTATTGATCTCCTTTCAGGAGGTCCACTTATCGACTTAGAATACGCAGATTACATAGTCCTGTTTGGTGAAGACGCTGATAAAATGCAGAGTCTTTTGGTAGCACTGAGCAAAAATGCCAGAATGTTTGGAATGCGCTTCTCTCCCTCTAAATGCAAGTTGTTGCTTCAGGACTGGCCTGCGTCAACACCTGAACTAAAGATAGGTAGTGAAGTAGTTGAACGTGTTGACAACTTCACTTATCTTGGAAGTCTGATCACCCATAATGGGTTGGTGTCTGAGGAAATCTCAGCACGGGCTCGGAAAGCTCGTTTGGCTTTTGCCAACTGACGTCATCTATGGCGAAGGCGAGATATCCGTCTATCAATAAAAGGACGAGTATACTGCGCGGCAGTTCGTTCTGTTTTAATTTACGGCAGCGAAACATGACCATTAGGAGTAGAAGACACTTGTAAGCTACTAGTATTTGACCACAGATGCCTCAGAAATATTGCTGGCAACTTCTGGGATCACCGAGTAAGTAATAGTGCGGTTAGACGCAGGGTATTAGGGAATGATGGTAAATCAGTTGATCAGGTTGTGAATCTTCATCGAATGAGATGGTTGGGCCACGTGTTACGTATGCTCGAACATCGATTACCACGACGTGCAATGCTAACCATTGTTGGAGATGGTTGGAAGAAAGTTAGTGGCAGCCAGACCAAAACGTGGCATCAGTGCTTGAAGTCACTAACTCCTAGTCTTAGCCATGTTGGTAGATGCAGGTTACTCGGTTGGGTCCGCGTGACTATCGTAACCAATGGTTGTACACCTTGGTGACATGGCTCAGAATCGATCATAATGACTTCGGTGTATACACTATCTGTCTTCCCTTAAACTAAGAAATCAAAATCGCTTCATATCTTTCTTTCTACGAACTAATTGTTTCTTCCTGTACTATATCCTTATTGCAATCTTTCTTTTATATATTACCACCTCTGAATTAACTACTTTTATGAATCCGGTGTTCATCTTGTTGTGTTAATGAGGTATGGCAACATGGACCGATGCATATATGTGCTTGGTCCTACACTGTAACTGACTGCACACGGCAAGTAATGGCAAAAAAATACGAGGACACTCCAAAAAAGTTCATAAGCCGAGAACAAATTACTTGTCAGCTGACTATCAACTTTCCCATCGAATCATCAACGAGTGGAATTTACTACCTCAGCACGTAGTTTAGGCTCCATCCGTCGACTCTTTCAAAAGAAAGTTGGATCAACTGAAAGACCACCATTGCCAGGGAATAACATAGACCATCGAGCCTCCTGTCCTTCCCAAACTGATTAAACATTAAAATTGTTGAATAGCTATTTCCATTTTATGATGTAATTTCAATATTCATCTTCAGTGGAACTAATATTTTTTGTCAAGATCGAACTTCAAACTTTAAATTCATTTGATGGGAAACATGATGTTGTTACCCGTATGATACTGATTAAACGTATTCACCATAGATTGCTACAATTTGCATACACTCTGGAGTTTAACTATCGTGATCTTTCTAACTTCATTATCTGTAAATCTCTGCTTATAAATTATTATGCTTTCATTTTGATTGTTTAGGTGAAATCTCATCTGAAAATGTTATCTGGCACAATTGATCAGTTAATAGATGAGATCATTAAAAATCTTGAAGTTGAATATAAAAATGACTTGATTATTGCAACACTGGGCTTTTTAGTCTTCTGTCGTCACTCATTGTCAAGTAAAGAACTTTTAATTCTACTCAATGAATGGCTTTTTACTACACAAAATATCAATGAAAAATATGAAATGAATTGGGAGAATAATCCATGGAAAATGCTTTCAGTCATACAGGATAAACCGAATGATTTAGAATCTATATGTGCACTTGAAAGTAACATTGACAGATTTATTCTGTCAAAATGTACAAACAATTTGTGTGCTTTAGACAAATCAAAACGATTACATTTAACTCCACTTGCATTTCATATTCTTCTCAGTAGATTACGTCCGTTAATGATTATTTTCAATAAATCATTGCACTGTTTCAATAGCACATCCAATGGCAGTAATAGTAATAATAGTAATGTTATTTCAACTGAAAAGATGACATTGAATAGGAAAATTGAATTATGGAATTTAGGTGCAGAGAATTTATCATTTCTAAGTCACTCGATTGAAGAAGTAGTATTCAATAAATTTTTTGAAAATCATGGAAATTATATGTACTCAGAGTATACTTTTAATGCTACTATTCACAAAATATTGGCTGTTGTTTTGTCAGATTTGGATGATAAACTTTATCATTTTGTAAGTCGATTTTGACTGTAATCACACACCGTGTATGTTCACTGTTGAAGAGCTTGATAGTGCGATGAAATAACTGTTCAATGCTTCTTAGTTTTTCATTGGTTGTTTAAAGTTGATCAGTTGATGATGGCAAGCATCAAATTACTTTGTGCTATGTGTGTTATGAAGAAAAATGTGATTGATGTTTGAGGTAGTTAAGCTGAAAATTTAGCCATAAACCTAATACTTGAAGCGTAATTGAATAGATTGAAGAAGGGAGAGTTTTAGTGACACGACTGAATGTGTATTGTACAATCAAATCTGTCATTCATGTTCATAATATTCAATGAAGATATTACAATTTATTACACACCGAATAACTTATGATTGGTGATAATGCAGTTCACAAATCAACAACTCACCTTTCGATTTTATTTCTCAGATCAACAGGAAACCATTGATGCTTTAGAATGCATGACTGTTTTCTGAACTCTATTGAAAATTGTTTCAAATGTTAATTTCCGATTGCAAGAGAACTTAGTGATAAGTTTACTGGTTTTGGGTAATATTTGGCTATGATCTGTAACCCATATGAAAGATTGAATGTTATAATTTCTACTTCAGACTTTTTAGTTGACAGTTTAGTTAGCTGAGTGTAATGACAAAGTACATAGTTGACTGAAATTTCGGTGTCTACACAATGTTCATAAAGTGCTAGACCATTAAGAAACACAGCGTTGATGGTCAGTTAACTGTTGTCCTCATATGTTTTTTTGATTGAAGCACCATAAAGTGAAGTCGATGTGACATCTATCATGGAGACTCTTTATTAGAGCTTTGTAAACGTTGGTTGAACACTGAACATGTTTTTCTCCATAGTTTTATTGTTTTGGAAGTTCCGATATTGAAATGGATCAATGATTCCTTAAATGTATGTAGATGTATGTATTGAGCATGATATATTAATGTATGATGAATGAAATGTGAAAACATTGAATTCTGTTTTGAATAGGATGTTGTGACGACTAATTGTTGACAAGTTAAAAACTGTGCTGAAACAACAGTAGTTGTTCACTTCCTGATTCTTTGTTTATGCCTTGTTCGTAATGTTTTGTGTTTTTCTTTTCAAGTTGTATGCTGATGAATTGGATATTATTTGTCATTTGCTCACAAGTCCCATGTTTATATGCAGAATTTTAAGTGAATATCCGTCAACATTGATGAGATTTCTCAATGGATATCGTAAGTGTGATTTTCCTAATTTGGATAATTTTACGGATTTTTCAAATAAATATGTTGAGTCGGCTTCGGAGAACTTCAACGGAGCCTCCGGAGACCCTAAAGGAGCTGAAGAGTTTCAGCCAATCAGAGCATGAGTGAGCTTTCTAGAATATTAACGTGGTATGCTAATATTGGTCAGTAGCATAATGTCTCTTAGCGGATTAGCCAAAATATGATGTTGATTTGACAAATGCTAAAAATCTATAAATACTCGTGTTTTTCTGTACAAAAATGAACCTTCGGAGTAAAGTGCTTTTCGCTTAATTTGCGCCTTATCTATCGTGTTCAGTTCGCTGCGTAGTTCTAGCTTTCGGGTTACCAGAATAGCTTAGGAACCGAATAAAGCGTTCAAATTAGCAATACTTATCAAAATATATGTTCATTATGCTAATATTTTGTTTCAAAGTATGTTTATGTCGCTGACTGATGGCAATTTTTACAACATCTCCTGAAAAAGTGCGACTATTAGACACTGGTTTAATTTGGGTGTACTCTAGCCAACTCACAAATGAAAACATCTTTTTCAGGCTGTTCTATGATCAACAACTTGAATGGATTGTCCAAAGAAAGCGATTGGTTAGAATCTAACGACAACCCAAGTTTTTGTTAAAATCCAGTTTTTATTCATAAATTATTTTAGTCATTACTAATTAAATTGTGTTCGAATTAATTTTGTTTTCGCAGCTACGACTGATCGATGTATACAAGAAAAGTGGAAAAGGAAACTGGAATTATGTCCTTTTATTGACAAAATTGATGCGATGAAAACGTTTGTTTGTGTAAACTATGAATTTTTAGTAAAGTAAGTTTCATATTTATGTATATCATTAATTAACCATGTAAATATTCGTGAACAATTGTAACGCACAGTTATTGTATCAGGGTTTATTGTACTACTTGTTCAAAGTAGATATTCTGAAATAAATTAGTATGGAGAGTGCGGTTGTTCGTTAATTAGGATGTCTGATTGATGTCTGTATTTACAGTACATCATCTTGCGTCACCTATCAAGTGCATTACAACGTGAACATTCGGATTGGAATGTAATCGGATTGATGATTTACTCCATTCAGTAGTTACTTTAAATTTTGCGAATTAGGAAACAACACTTCCTTCTTAAATTGATATTGCTCAAAGTTATGTAAACCTTGAGCATGCACAAGTTTTAGATTAGTAAATGTTTATGTTTTTGATATTCAGTATCGAATGTGTTTACTGCAAACACCGATTTCAAACAAGTATTTGGTGACAAAAGGAATTGAACATCATGTTGTAACAACGTCAAATGAATGTGAATTATAACTAAACTGTGTGAAGACCTGTACACTCAACTTCTTATAACAAATAAGCTATATGCAGCGTTGTTTCTATGGTTTCGGTCACTTTGAAAATGCTACACTGATAGTCAGACCGAAATCTTTTCTCTCCTAAGCACATTTTTCAACTATTCCCAACTTCATATCGATATAGACTGAAACAAATATACGGGTCTTGCATAAGTTAAATTATTCTTATTATTACATATAAATATTACTATTGTTGTCTAAAATGCGGCCTTTTATTCTCTTACTCGATAGATATCCGAATTCGTTTTGTGAATTAGCTATCAACCAAGATTCCAGTGAATGGATCCATATGTTAGGCCTCTCATTGTTGTATCTTAATGATTTCAGTATACAAAGGCAATTAAACATGAACAATAGTCAAATACTCTTCCGTGTAAATTCACCAAAATGCACATTGATCAAACCTATGCAGAGGAATATGACATATAAACCAATTGTGACTTCAAATGGTTCCATGGATGTGCCAACGTCTGTGGAAATGAATTCAACTGCTAAAGTATTGGTGTATGGAACTAGGTGTGGTACGATTACTTTCATAGAATTGTCCACTATGCGTGTGAGTTCTCTTGTAAATTTCTATTGTTCGAACATGGAACAGATTCTTTCATTTTTTCTGATTCACATAAGAGGCTTAACGATCAGTCTGTTTTTGTTATTATTAGTTCCTTAATTTGAAAAGTCTCTTTGTTACTTTATTTCAGGAACTGTGGTCATTAACTGGACACCGTTCAAGCGTTCAAAGTTTATGTTTCCTTGACGGATTCCCCAGTAAACCTGAAAACATAAAATCTCCCGAAAAGTTCATTTCAGAACTTCGGTTAATGAGTGCCTCAGAAGATGGTGATGTTTATATCTGGGATGCGTCTACCGTGATTCACAATGTTGGGTCTAAAGTGCATGACAAAACAGTGATTTCACAATTGGCATCGTTATGTGGATATCATCGTCGATGTGTAACTACTTCTGCATGGCATCCTAGACGTCGACTGGTTGCTACCGGTGATTTAGACTGTATGGTTTACTTATGGGATGTTTCAGAAATTGATGTTAAATCCAGTGATCTATCGACAAGTGTCTGTTCTGTAAAGCTTCATCCAGTTAAGTCAATAAATGTATCCAGTTATCCGATTATTTCAATTGCATTCCGATTGCCATCTGTTTTAAGCAATGAACAAGAATACTTAGTACATGATGATTTGGCTATAGGGTGTTGTGATGGTACAATACATTTCTACAATTTATCTTCCTTATCTATCGTGAGGGTAAGTTAACAAATCTTACGTTGTGTTGTTGTTTGTAGAGTGGTGGCTCAGTGGTGAAGGCGTCCGACTTTTAACCACTAATTCTGGTGTCCACCCCATGCTCCACTTTGATTTGACCAATCGAGTAGTTTCTCTACTCCTAATATGCAGAGTGTATAATTCGTTGACAGTGGTAGATTACTATATCAGCCATTCATATTTTTGTCTCTTGATTTTGTTAATAGTCGCTATCTGCATCAACGTCACTTTGTTCACTCGCCTACTCACCAAATGGAGGGAATATATTAGCAACGTTTGATAAAGATGGTGTATTAATGCTGTGGAACGATGACATACTTTGGTATCAAGGTGGTTTAATACAAGAAGACTCTTGTTTTACAATTGAGTATTTTCCATATGATCAAACTGATGAATTAATTCCAAATCAATATGGGAAGATTTGCTTTTCGAAACCAAATGGTCAGTATATTTTCCAGTCAGGTGGTGGCCAATTTTTGAATAATTACATTAATATATGGGATACTGGACTATGGGGAACCTTTGGTAAGTGTTGACTCTAGTTTTCTGTACCTTGGAATAGCAATACTTTTGCCTCTTTTAAAAATAAATAAATGAATTTGTCAAGCTTGAATGTTTATTTCATTCCACACATCATTTATTTCTATTTGATTTGTATTATTTCATGATCCTACTGTCTTGTATCCAGTGTTTAAATTTGTTTTATCTGTTATGAACTTTGTAAATGCGAAGATCATTATTTTAAGCGTCTTGTCAATGGAATCTGCCAAGGTCACAGTGAATTCATTCAGTCAACATGTCAAATATTTTTTGTAAGCAATATGTTTAATACATATTGGTTCAACAGTATAATTCTGACTATGTAATGCAGTTAATCAATGAAGACCAGTCAGTATGAAGAATTATAGATAATAAAAATCATACAATTGTTCGTTCGTGTCTGTGTATAATCAATCTGTCACTTGAATGGACAAATTATTCTCAGTTCTTTCCTAACCTCTAAAAGCCTTTTGGAGGTATTCTTAGAGGAACCTTATGGTTTAGTTTTCTTGTGCTGATCGAATTCTATCGATCAGTTTGCAATATCGCCACTAGTCTGAGTGACCAACCGTCGCTTGCACTATGTCGAGGTATTAGAAAGTTGAAGGTAGGCGTCAGGAAATCATGAACCTGGGTTTCGTGCTATTCGACACTGGTTAGCAAGGAATACCTGTAATTTCACAGATTGAAACCATGAGTCAATCGAAGCTAGACCACCATGGAAAACCCGGAAGCACTGGACGGCCGTTTCGTTTTAGTATGGAACTCCTCAACAGTGCGCATCCACGACCCCGCATCCCGCGAGATAGGTCCTGGGTTCGAATCTCGCGGGATGCGGGGTCGTGGATGCGCACTGTTGAGGAGTTCCATACTAAAACGAAACGGCCGTCCAGTGCTTCCGGGTTTTCCATGGTGGTCTAGCTTCGATTGACTCATGGTTTCAATCTGTGAAATTTCTAAAATCTCCACAAACCCTTTCTGAGAATACCTGTAACTTTGAGGGGATTGATTTTCTCCAAGTGATTCGATCCCGAGTCACTCAGATTCACTGTCTGTTAAAAATATATAATTTATTACTTTGATAATGAGTTTACAGTTTTACTTCATTTCTAAATTGCAGATCTATGGTGGATTTGATTTCTTCTTATTGAAGACATTTGTACATTTTTTTATCATATTTATCAACCAGTTGTAATTAACATAAAAGAGCCTTATCCATTTTCGTTCACTTTATTTATCTTGTTTTTTCCATAGGTCCATGGATTGATGTAAAACCACCTCAAATAGGTTCAGGAAATCCTATATGTGTAACTTGTTTGACAATATTGCCTACTTACGAACATGTTTTAATAGGTTGGAGTAATGGCGATCTGACTGTTATTCGTGTGTTTGACGGTAGATTAATTCATTATTTGAAAGCAGCAACAGAAGATAATTCGTCTATCCAGTGTATTACAAGTAGTTGTGCAAGATCTTTTTCAGCATTTGATGCATATCATACTATTGTTGGTTATGCATCTGGTGCTGTACGAGTAGGTTGTACAAATGAGTATAAAGTTCGTTGATTACTATGTATAAATGAATCATAAATGTTCTTTATATTGATCAGTGTATTGTTAAAAACTCTGACTGTGGCTTCCACCTTGATGTTTGTGGTCGGGGCTAGTTGTTGTGATGATCCAATCTAAGTGTATCGGCTGAAACACTTGGTCCTTTAGGTTACACCATGCCAACCAGGTCGATTAGGACACAGTAAAACTAAAAGTAAAAAATGAAGGTCCTAAGGCAAAGTCGTACTTCTGAATGTAGAGGAGTGTCAGCAGTAGAGTGTTCCTCTTCGGTAGCTAGCGTCTGCAAACATCGCTACCATCTCACAATAAATAGATCGACCCTGAGAACATCACATCTCACCTTCCCCCATGAAAATGGCGACTTAACTCGGTTTACATGTTATGCCAATCACTGTGACTGTTACACTTCCCAAGTGATGCATAACCTCACCGAGAATTTATGTGGTTTTTAGGTAGTTGTGGTAACCTAACTGGTAAACTGGATTTCTTTTAAACTCGATCATTCATTATAATATCAACTGAATAGTAGTTGATTTTTAATTTTGTGCAATTTAAGTGATCCACAAAATGAAAATTGATGCTTTTGTTTATTAATTGGTGATTTATTGAAGTTGATTGTATACAATACACTCATATTTATGACTTGAAATGTAACGAGTTTGCATTGCTTATTCGTCTTTTCGAACTACACTTTCTTTTAGATATTCCTATGCATTTTAAGACCAAAAGTTAGTCCATACAAAGATCGTTATGTGTATCAGTCGGCAAATGCCATGTCAGAGCTTCAATTCCAACTCGTTGATACTTTATGGTCACATTGTATAAATCATAATGTGAATGGTGGAGTGCGGGAAAATGAAGGGACATTATGTGTTGCAAGTGACTTCTGTGTAGCTGTTACTGGAGGTGGGAATGCTGAGACATGGGTTCATTTTATTGGTCGACAAACTGGTAGTAAAATTAAGAAATCTGTTTGCCTGAAAGAACACAATTCTGCAGTAATCGCTGTTAGTATGGATAGCAAATTTTTTGCGACAGCTTCTAAAAGCAGAGTAAGCTATGCACACGGTTGTTTACATTATTATTTGATAAGGCTGAGATTTCTAAGACAGTACTTGTGTTTGATAATATTTAAATAACTATGTTATCCAGTTGTTGATCTATACTGAAAAATAAGTTTCATGTTTTAGGAAACCGTTTACTCAGTTTAGTTGTAGCTGATTGTTTTGAAAATTCCAACCTCTTCAACTAATGAGTTCCTAATTGTGAACGTGTTCCACTTACATTTATAGTTTCTGAGTCTACATTAAATCTTAAGTGGTCGCCATAAAATATTACTTTTTATCGGTTTCCTAGGTGGAAAAAACCCAAATGAAGTCTGTTTGTATTTCTTCTTTCATATGTCTGTGTAAAATTTTGTTTGGTCTGACTGATTTTCCGGTAATCCATGTTTACTTAGCAATATGGGAGTAGAAACTGGCTTCTCTGTTGGGAAATAAAATTTGAGTGAAACCATTTAGGTGAAGTGTGCAAATCATTAAAACATGTATTATTGTCTGACAAAGGAAATTATTTATTTATTCAGGTTATCGGATTTCTGAACTCACTAGGAAAGTGGTTCATGGACTCAACTTTCAGTCACTGAAAAACGAGTTCGACCATTCGGATAGTATCCCAATTGGCTGGACTGAAATTCGGACTCTAAACATGACTATATACCTAGTTAGCGACATCAAACGTAAATTCGAAATTTGTTTCAGCAAATATGAAGCTATAAAATATCTATTTGTATTCTTCCATGGATACCTCTTCGAGAATATCTACAAATGTGCTGGTCGAGATGAATAACCACCGATCAGTTATGTCGTATGGAGTGACTCCTTTCATACTGGCCAGTTTATTAGGCTCCTCCCCATCACGTGTTTGGAATGGTCATGAAATTTGTCTCAATTTTAAGATATATGGGTTTTAAGTTTTTTTGACCTGGGATCTGTTTCCAGTTAGGTTGAATAAATGATCGTTATTGAATGATTGCTGTCGAGATATACATCCTGACTATTCTCGTATATAATTATCAACTTAAATTGCATTAGTGCATAACGTAATCAAATAAGTTAAATACGAGAATGAATTTTTGAATACATATATTTTGTACACTCATTGATCGTGAGATACAATCAGGGGGACGTAGCGAAGGACGCGAAATGTTGCGTTGTGGGAAAGACATGTAAGCCATATCCATTTTACCAAGCGTTATCAATATATCTAGACAGATACATGAAAATCAATAAATCACTGCATCATATAAATGGTTCCGATATAATCGGAACGTTATGTAGTATACAATCGCTGGAAGCCAAAGGATGTTGGTTACGAAACCTCATCCAGTTTTCTATTCGTTTTATAACTTGTTTATTGAAGAGATTATTATTCATTGAGAACAATAATCAGAAAGTTTGTGTTTAGTTAGTTACAAAATAACTTTTTGTGTTTTATTTTTCATCACAAATGATTGGCTTCTTATGACAACATTGAATAAACCAAATTACAGTAAATATGTTATCAACACATAACTCATCTTTCTTATTAAACACATTTTTCTGTCGTTAATCCGAAAAGTGTTATTTCCAATGTGTGTCGAAAAACTGATTTATTGTATGTTCTATTACTGGAAAGTTTGGTAATGAATTGACTATGTTGAATGGTTTAGGTAAAAAATTCAGTATGTTCTCTACTATTTTTATTATAGCTTGTAGGGGTTATAATTAGATGAGTCTCTATTGAATGAATGTCTGGATATTTGATATTCTGGATTTTACTACTCGTCACTATTTGAACATCTAGTCAACTCATAGTTATAAACAATATCTAGTGTTGCACTCAAGGAACCCACTTGTTAACAGGATGTTGCATCTTGTTCTTGGGGTTTCGTACGGGCCTACAATGTTTGCGGATCTAGGAAGAAAATTGATTTTGCTTCTCTAATACGATCGGTTCCCTTTCGAATCAACGACGGCCGTTTACGTACATTACATCAAAACCCCGATGGCCAACACGGGAGGAAGACAGATTGCAGGGAACTTGGTATTCGTGGTAGAACAATCAACACAGAACGAAATTGTGCAACTGTTGTTATTATTTTTACTTCTTTATTTGAACACATAGATATTGGTGCAAAGGGGCACCAAATACATATGAGCCGCACAATAACAATCAGAATGTGAACAGATAAAGAATGTAAGATGTTTATAAAAAAAGGGAAACAATAACGAGCAGAAATCAGTGTTTGACTGTAAAACAGAAGAAGCAGTTCAGTTAGCAAAGTTACAACAAGAAAAAATTCTTCCAGTTAAAGAAGTTACATCCATTTCCTGTGAAGAAAGTAAAAGATAGTTACAACAGCATCGTCACTGGCTTCTATTCTAAGCCATATCTGATGACATCTTAAGCCATTGTATTGCACCATCTCTCGGACCCCAGTCAGAGAATCGTGAAGAACCAACAGGAGCCAGCCGTTTGCAGCTTTCTTTCATACCACGACACCATGTCATGCACTGACCACCTCTCCGCCTTCTCCAACCAGTCCCAGCGTCGGCAAATAATGCACGACGTGGAATCCTCCGAGACGACATTCGTAGAACATGTCCAAGCCACCGAAGTCTATGTTTCAAGAAAGTGACACCAATTGCATTATCGTCTCTGTGTCCGAACACACGACACCGAACCCCTGCATTACTGACATGGTGTTGCCACTGGATGTCAGCAATCTTTCGGAAATAACAATGATCAAACAGGGATATTCGTCTAACATCCTCAACTCGGAGAGGCCAGGTTTCACAAGCATAGAGCAAAACTGCTCTCACCAACGTGTTGTAGATCCGATCTTTTACAGCCAGACTGATATAACGAAGGCGCCAAAGATGGTGCAGATTGGCATAAGCCGCTCTGGCTTTCACTATTCGTGCATTGATCTCATCACTCACACCCCCACCAGCACTTATGCAGCTACCCAGATACACGAACTTCTCGACTACTTCTATCTGCTCACCATCCAGGGTGAGTACTTAGCACTTCGAAGGTGCGAAGCACATGCCATACTGAAGGACACTGATTGCCAACTGATTAAGTGCGGATTGCATGCCTTGGGCATTATCGCACAGTAAGACAATATCAACAGTATACTCAAAGTCTAGAAGTCTTTCCCCAGGCAACAGATCCACACCGCCTTTGCCTACATCAATCAGTGGCTTGAATGAGTTGAAAGTACTTCTGGCAATTACCAGATACAGCTGCTGCCTCCAACTCATTAGCACGCTCCGAACACCAGGCTTCTCAGTCCTTACGCAAGCTTTGCTCAATTTCATTACGTATCAGTCGTCGCTTTTGGTCAAACGGTCACCTGGAATAGACCGATGGACTTCAATAAGTTGTAATGATTTTGAAGAAACTCAGTGCTTGTAGGTGGGACGTTTCACGAAGCCGCAAGCGGCTTTACTCGCCAGTTTCATGTACTCATGAAGTTGCAACCAATGCTCATCTATACTTTTCGGTGGATTTGTAGCTAGCCTAGAAGCTAGCTCGGTTTGATATTTAGTTGCAACAGAAGCTGCAACCAATTTATTGACATTAATCCGTTTAGGACGATCAATTCGTTGGCCACTGAAAAGTAAGGTAATATTGGCGCAGATCAGGTCATGATCTGAGTCCAGACAGGTACTCCAAGAGGAGCTGCAGTCTTGTACACAACCACGCCAGCGGTAGCTGATCGCGATGTGATCAATCTAAGTCCAGGCTTGGGATGCAGAGGGAGGACGCCAGGTGGCACATCGGCGATGACTGTGCCGGTAGTTAGTGCTAACCAGAAACAAGTTGTGGTCTGTGCACAGTTGCAGTAGACGGTTCCCGTTATCTGACCTGTGACCAACATGTCCTCATTAGCCACCTAGACGACTATTTTCTGTGCCCAGACGCCCAACCTGATCATTCAAGTCTCCGGCTAGTACTACAATATCTGTCGAACGCACTTTCTGGTGAAGAACAGTTAACTGGTGGTAAAACTCATCCTTGATTGCATCCGGGCTGCAATCTGTCGGGGCATGGGCGGAGATGACGAAAAGACATTGTTTCTCACGCCGATTTCTTCTCACTTTGATGGAACTTTCTAATCTAACAGCACATAACCGACTGTTAATGGGGATCCAATCGACTAGTGCTGCCTCAGCTCTATAGCCTAATGTGACATCAACGCCAGCAAGACCAGACGAAGATGCCACCGGGTCCCCGGATAAACGCACGTAAAACAAGCTTTTCGAAGCGACAAATGGAGACCGTATTTATAGTACCTCACCAGAGTCTTGAATACAGGTCTCGGATAGACAACAGACGTCGATACTAAAACTTTCTAAAGATGTAACCCTATTTGTTGTCCGATTTGCATTGGTGTGTGAACGTTGAATGAAGCGAATGTGAATGGTATACGTGGTTTCAGAAAGACTGTTTCAGTATTCGTATCCGGTGGAAGCATTCAACTTTCGACTAGTCAGTAACTTGAGATCGTTTAGGTAGGACAGAGTTTCCACCATAGGCGAGATGTATAATCTGAAAAATAAGGATACACAAAGTGGGAATAAGAGAGAGTAGATAAGTGACGTCGTATATCAAGAAAAAGAAAAGTAAAATTGAATGTGAATTGTCTGAATTTTAATTAGAACAATAACAGTATTTCTAGTAAATATTGTAGTTTCATTTTATTTGTGTGTGAGCTGTGATACTGCCTGGGTACCCAGACCGAAGCATGTGGTTTTCCTAGGGGGCCACACCCCGAGCCTTTGACCTAAAGGTTTGACCCACAAGGCAGTGGAGTATTGTGAGGAGATGCAGTCCCATGGTAGCCGGTGATTAACAATTGGTTCGTACGCCATTTTTTCTTTCAAGATACTGGAGCCCATGTGCATTACTGGTTTGGAATCAGGATTTTCCATTTCCCCTAGGTAAGCCATCCATGTCCACGAACCCGGTTAAAACGCCGGACATTCGCTTTTTGTCCTCTCAATTTCGTAAACAACACGCTTCCTGCAAGAAGGCAGTGAATAGGACTTTCTGACAGTTTGTATGCACATGGCTATGTGAGAGCACTTCAAGAAGGAGAGCTGACTCTCCCCACTCTCGGCTGTGCCAGGGCATTCGCGGGTTTATTATTATAGTAGCAAAATGTGAACTTCAAGCATGCATAAATTCAGAGATCTAGAAACAACAACAAGCAATCGGAGGTCAAAGGTCATGGGGGAGATCGAATTAGAGAAGCGTGTGCAAGCGGTTATCGTTTCTGAAGAGATTTTAGCAATTCCAGTAAAATTTGATTATTCTCGTGATCGCCGTAGCACTGGGACCGGTTGAATCCTGTTGTGCATATCACAACGTAAAAATCTTAATCTTTACAAATCATAATAAACATTATATCTTTTAAACAGGTCTTTTACATTCATGATGGGACTATAATTTGTGGACCTTTGAACAACGCTAAAATGACGTTGGAATGTCCACCTACTTACTAGTGTTAAATGATGGTTACATATTAGTGTGAAGAACTATGATTAGGGTTTACAGTTGAACGTTCGGTTTAAGAAGTAGATTTAATGTTTTCATCATGAACTGACATCAGATATAATGCCAAAATGGTGTTTAGTCAAATAAGTAAATGAATTTCACGTCAAAATCGAAAATCCGCTTTCCTGAGTGTGATTAGTTTGTCCATAAATCATAGTCTCACCACTTTTGTTATTGAGTGAGCGCCACAATTTGAGGGACAATAATGGATGCGTCCGAGTCTCCTTGTGAATACCATCATTAGTTACTAGTTACATTCAGTTGTCACATGCCTAGTCACCCAAAATACAAGTCTACTATCCAAAAGTCTTATTGTTTTCATCAAAATTTCTCAATAAGTAATGGCTTTTGTTACAGTCTTTCAACGTTTTCTTTATTAAATAATATACCTCTGTATTTTTTATTGCAGCAATTGGCGTTGTATAAATTCGATCCATTAGAACGAACTGTAACCTTATGGCATTTAATCAATGATGTTGGAACAGCTCCAATCACTTCTTTCTACTTATTACGTATGTTCCTTGGTGTGGACACAATCAGTATATCGGTGTATATTGGTGATAGTAATAGTCTACTGCATAATTACGCAATAATTGATAAAAAGTTCCAATTGAAACAAACATTTGATGCAAATAAATCTCCTATAAAATTTATGGAACGTGTTGTAAGTCCAGTTAAAATAACCGAACTGGAAATATTTCTCTTTTTCATTCGTCAACTTTATACAGCGTCCCTGGCTCAACTGATTTGGCTAATAGAGTAATTTTAATTTTCGTAAATTCTTATGAGTTCGAAATGATTGTTTTCTAACCAAATCGGTCGTCATGTTCAGAAATGGATGATGTCTAGCAATGAGATTCAGGATGCACATTTCGTCTAATTTTGGACTGGTCATCTGTGTGTTCCTGCACCCCAGAGGTATACTCGGTAGGTAAGTGGATAACGCGATAGCGTCTGAGGCGAACAGTATTGGGTTCGGGTCTTGGCGTGAACATCAACCCTGAGATGCAGATGCATCTAGCTAACGAGTTCACAAGAGGACGAGACGCACTTCCTGAATCTCATTGCTGTGATTAATTATCAATTAAAAATCTTTTTGGATCTCAGATAGAGCAACGCAAACAATGCCTTGATTTTCTTTGTTATTAAGCTTAATTCCATCCTTTCTCTTTGACAATTACCATTTAATTTTGAAGAATTGACAAGTGAATATCTACAAAATGTTAACAATCGAATTGACTTATTTCCTTTCAACAGTATCTTCCACTTGAGTGCTAAAAACTATCGAGGCGGTTCTATATGATGCTTCGAAAACATACTTAATGAATTAATCGTTATATCTTCCATATATTTATGCTAAATATTGATTCCGTCTCACTATTTTTCCTACATACTAAGTCGAATCATTTGTTAGCTGCTTCGGATGATGGTGAAGTTAGCGTCTGGAAGCATGATAAACATGGTGCTTTGCAATTCTCTCATCGTCTCAATGTCTGCACAGATATGCCGTCAAAGAATCATAGTAGTAATAGCACTTTGGAAGGATCATATTATTTGACCAGCTTTTTCATGTTCTTCGTTGTTTATGATCCCTTGAAATGTAAGTGTTTTTAAGATTTGCTGCTCGTCTACTATTTGTTTTCATAATTTTCCACAGTCCAGTCAGTCAGTCAGTAACAACGTAGAACTTCGTATGTACGTACATCAGTTCGAATTGCCACACCACATTAGCACAGAGATGAAGTTGTCGATTCAAATCCTGTAGTGGTAGAGGTAGTAAGATTATAAGCAGTAATCGGGAAGATTAGGGTTTGGAGATGTTATTTAAAGAGTATAATCCAGTGAAATAAATTTGGGAAGAGAAAACAGAAAGGGACATGAAGAATTCAGAAGATTAGAATTTTGGAGAACACAGAGAGTGGATGCACCTGCGCCATTGCAAACGATTTTGAGCCATGTCATTCAGGGTCTCTAACCATCGGTTGCTATCAACTAGCGGTCCTCAACTAGGTAGTCTACACCTATCAACCTGACTCAGTCTACTTGTCAGTAACTTCATGGACTTGTGCCATGTTTTGGTCTGGCCTCATTTAGCCTTTTTCCAAACCACTTCTACACCATAAAACATCGCACGTCGAGGCAGTCGGTGGTTGGGCATACGTAACACGTGTCCCAGCCATCTCAACTGATGGAGTTTCACTACGTCATCAATCGATTTACCATCCCAACCTGGTACTCGTTTCCTAACAACTGTGTTACTTACTCGATGGTCCCAGGATATACGAGCAATATTTCGAAGACACCTATGATCAAATACTAGTAACGTACGAATATCCTCTACTCTTACCGGCCATTTTTCACTGCCATAAAGTAGGACGGAACGAACTGCTGCGCAGTAAACCGGTCCTTTGGTTGATAGACGGATATCTCGCCTACGCCATAAAAGTTGATGCTAGCGAGCCTTCTGTATCCGCGCTGAGATTTCGTCACACACTAAACCACAAGGGCTGATGAGACTTCCAAGATAAGTAAAGCGGTCGACACACTCAACTACTTCACTCCCTATCACTAGTTCGGGTGTGGATGTAACCCAATCCTGAAGCAACATTTTGCATTTCTAGGGAGAGAATCGCATCCCGAACATGCTTGCATTGTTGCTTAGAGTGGTCAGAAGACTCTGCATTTTGTCAGCGTCTTCACCAAATAAAACGATGTCATCAGCATATTCCAAGTCAACAAGTGAATCTCCCGGTAGAAGTTCAACCCCTGGAAATTTAGATGAGGAAAGTGTTATCCCTAAAGGTCCGTCAATGACAAAGTTGAACAAGAATGGAGAGAGTGGGCAGCCCTGACGAACACCACTTGAGGTAATCAATTCTGATGACAGTTCGCCATAAGCTCTCACTCTACCAGTTGTGTTCGAGTAGAGAGCCTTTATAAGGTTAATGTACTTCTTTGGTACTCCTTTCAGTGACAAACACTGCCATAGAACCTCACGATCAACAGAGTCGAATGCCGCCTTAAGGTCGAGAAATACTACGATTGTGGGGCGTCTGAATGTGTGTCTGTGTTCTAGAACCTGACGTAGTGTGAATATCTGATCTATACAACCACGTCCAGGTCGGAAACCAGCCTGATTTTCTCTAATCTGCTCTTCACGAGCTTTGATTAGGTGTCGAAGTATTATTGAAGCTAATATTTTAGACAGTATTTTAGTCAAACTGATTCCTCTGTGATTGTCACAAGAGAACTTTTGTCCTTTCTTATAGACAGGTACAATCAGTGGTTGAGACCAGTCAGATGGGATTACGTCCAGTTCCCAAATTCTACCTATGACCTCAGTTAATCTCACTGCTAATACTGGACCACCATCCTTAAAAATCTCAGGAGTAAACCTGTCAGGGCCTGCTGCTCTCCCTCGTTTCAGATTTCTTATGGCTTTTTCAACTTCGTAAAGGGACGGAGGACCTACATTAACTTGCCATTCAGGTTGACTAGAGATCGTGGGAAACCGAAGTGTGGCTGAAGGCCAGTTGAACTGATCCCTAAAGTGTTCTGCCCATCGATCCAATCTCCTGGATTGAGAATGAATAATATGTCCATCTTTCTCTGAGATTGTTTCGCTAACGGTCGGGTTCCTATTACCGGTTTCCTTAACGAGTCTGAACAATTGTCTGCTATTACCTATTGCCGCTGCCTTTTCCATCTCTCTTGCTTTCGCTACCCACCACTGTTCGCGATCATTGCGTAGGCTTCTTTTCAGCTTGTGCTTAAGCTGACTCCGCTCTTCATTATGTTCAGAGCCAGGTGGAATGAGTTTCCGAGCATCTATCAGTGCGATAGATGCTGCTGAGATCCAGTGTTGCTTCCTAACCTTACGGGTTACCGTACTAGCAGATATCACTGCTGTTTTCACAGCTTTTCGGATATCGTTCCATACTGCCCTGGGGTGGGCATCACATACATTCCTGCCTAACTGTTTTCCTAGTTGTTCCTGAAATATACTCTTAGCTTGACTATCATTAAGTAGGACCCTAAGAGGTTACCTTGGAGCGTCTTTCCTATGTTCAGTAAGACGCAGGCAAATACGCGCTCGTACTAGAGCATGATCTGAATCTAAACATGTGCTCCAGAATGAGCGACAGTCTTCTATCGAGCCCCTCCATCGGTGTCTGATAGCGATGTGATCTATTTGGGTCCAACGTTGGGACGAATTAGGGGGTCTCCATGTTAAAAGATGTTTTTCCTTATGTTTAAAGTTAGTATTTGCAAGGAACAGGCGGTTATCTGAGCATAGCTGCAACAGACGGTCGCCATTATCTGTTCTTTGAGCCACGACACCATAAGATCCACCTAGGTGTCTTTCCCTATCCAATGGTATTACAGTCTGTTCTATATAGAAAATAGTTGTAATATGTGGATTCTTTAATCACCGTTGTCTGTCATCAGACTTTCAGCTGCTAAGTCTCAGGTTCTAGCTTCGCTTCTACTTTTCTTGGTTTGAACAGTCGAGTAGTGTCATTGAAATTGTGTGTACATGTTCTTTTCATAATTTAAAGTCACAACTGATCACCTGTGATCTATCATGTGCGTTAAATGATGAAGACTCATAGAACAAGCATAGCAAATTTTAGACTAATTATGACCGTTACATTAATACGATCGATCTATTATTTTGTACTTCATACTTAACGAATTCCTTAACTTCTTCTTACTGTCAACATTATCTATGTTAATTTTAGTTGAACGAAAACTGTGCAGTCCAACTATTGAAACAATCGACAAATTGATGATATCCAAAGCTGATAACCAACATACTGAATCTGATGATGAAGTGAAGGATCCGGATTCTGAGGTTACTTCACTTAGTGGATGTTGCATGTCAAATAGTAATAGTTATGTAACAGGTTCTGATCAAAAAATTTATGAATGTGGTTACAAAATACATATTGATATTGAAGAGGAAAATAAAACATATTTTATTGCTACTGATTATCTGAAAGATGAACAATTTCATTTGTTGAATTCATGTAAAAAAGGATACATAGTTTATCGAGATACATCATATGATGCAACGTATCGTTTATTATATGGTGTTAGATTATCATGCAATAAATCGTCTGATTGCTCACAAGTTATTCAGGGTTTTCGTTATCGAATATTTGCACCATTCATTCTACAATATCGTGGTACATTGAAAGGACACTCAGGTCTTGTTCCATGTGCACTGACCTCTGGATGTACCACCAATAGTGATGAAGATTGTATAGTTGCCAGTGCATCTGGTCGAACTGTGTGTGATGTCGGTTGTGATATTCGTCTTTGGAGTATACCTTCGAAAAGGAAACTATTGAATTGTAAGCATTAATTATCGTTTTCGGTTTTATTGAATTACGTTGTATTGAATAGTATTTTGATCTGATCGGTGTGTACGGTGCTTTCCGCAGTCGTCCAAACACAGTCAGACCTAATCACTCTAATTACAATATAATGTTTGCCAATCTTACAGTAAACATATGTTAGATTTGTAGATAGATAGATACCCTTGCCTACCATCCTTTTCTAATGATATAGCAAGCGTTTTCTATCTCACTAGTCAAAATTGTGTTTAGTTACTCGGTCGCATTACGCCACATCACAGGGTATCGTTTGTCGAATATGATAAATACCAATCTGATAATTGGGACTGGAATTTGATCATAGCCATCAGCAATTAGTCTGTTAGTTTATCCATACTTACTTAATTTATTCTCCTTGTTACAGCACAGGAGATCAGCTGAGTTGTTTTGAAATTTACATCTTCAGGCTACTTGCAGAGTGTAAAGTTTGTGGATATTCCGTTTTTCTCCATGAACAGATCGTTTTGCTTTGCTATTATGCTAAACATGGGATTCAATTTTATATAAAACCATTCCACTAATGCCGACTGTTCAACTTTGTTGACTTAATTAATATGGCTAGAATATGCAACACATGATCTCAGTTGGAAATGAATATTAAGGATGTTTGTTGTAAAGATTTTAGATAGTCACTTCACTAATCTGACTGAGAATTTTACAGTGACTTGCTTTAAATCCAAGTTCGCAAGATGCGTTTGTTTTACTAGAAGAATGTATAATATCGTTTGTACGTAGCTCAACTTGTCATTAAATTTGTGTGTAAATGAGATATTATTTTGTTAAAAATATTTAAAAATAAATTCAGTATGAAACCAGCTTTATGTGCTTGTAATATTTACTTTTAAGATGAAACAATCACAGATTTTAAAGAGACTAAACATTGTGTTAATAATGGACTTCAATCTCTGATAACAAGTTATTATTGTATCAAAACATGGCATAGTTTTGTTTAAATAAATTATTTCAAAGGTCACTTCATCTTTACACGATCGTGCTTCAGCGTGTTTCAGCCTACTGGTTTAAAAGAATTGTTTCATTAACTGTGATTTACTTGATTTGGTTACTTTTATTGTTAACGTCCTTATGGATTCCGATTGTGTGAACTCTATCCAGAAACGGCGTCTAAACTTTTGTTAAATTAACGAGTGAAAATAGTGCATTGTAATAGGTGTATAGTTCAGTTCCAAAACACTTAAATCATCCTAACTTATACAACCTGACAATGCTGGGGTCACTGTGACTACATGGTAATGACAGTTGATAGAAAATAGGTATCCCATTCGTGTATTAAAGAAATCAAGAAACTGTACATATCGGTTCGATTCATTGAAGAATGACAGTAATGGTTAGCAAAGAAGTCTGTACTGATGATGATCGAATTGCTTTAGTGAAAGGAGCTCAGTGATAAGGAGCAACATCCAATCTCATTTCAGTAATGTATATGTACAAGATGGAAAGAGAAACTTTTAAGCCAATCTTTTTCAGTTTTATCATCACAATATGAAATGTTTCCCTATATAAGTTGGTACTTTGTTAATCATTTCATACTGTTGTGATTAGTGATTTGGGATTGAATAACGTGTGTAATTTTTGTTCGAGTGATATCGCTCACCACCATGTGTCGCTTCACTTCATAATCAGATTGTAGATGCCGACTGTTTGTACAGTTGGAAAACCCGATATTAGCGATCGAATACTTGGTTGTTTTCAGTGGTTAGCTAACTAAAGTCAGTCTGTGATATGAAACTTGAGATCTCCACAAAACCTTATCTTAACAACATAGAAATTACAAACATTTAATCATGATTAGGTTTTATGAAGCTACTGTACTTGTTAGTCGTTTGTTGTTTTATTTAGATCAACCAAATCAACATTTTGGACCGATCACATGTTTGGGCCAATTAAAAATTACAGATCACTACAGCATCTGTATATCAGGTTGTATGGATGGGAGTGTAATGTTTTGGTCAGTTAAGAATTCCGAGCCGTTGGATCTTAAACATGTGTCAGTTGCAGACTTAACAAATAACAAGTCTGTACAATGGAAACCGTTATTACATGGATTTTGTTCAGCGTTACGACCAAAGTATGCAATATCCGATATTGCTACGCAAACGTATGTGATGGATGAATCGAAACGAACAGTGCAATATTTGATTTATATTGCTTACGGTGAAAACTTATGGAGAATGCGAATTATATTGGATCAGTCAAATATGTCTATGAATGATGTACAAAATACTTTTGAACGATTGTTTTCTATGAATGAGAAAACAGAACTCCCTTTTGTAGAATTAGATGTATTCTGGTCATCTGAATTAGATATTCCTTGTTCTGATATTGTTAGGTAATTAATGTTTTATTTTGTTGTTACGTTGAATTGAAATCCTTTTTTGATATATTTTCATCTATTTACTTAGGGGATGTGGAGCTTGGTAAATGACTATTTAAGTTCGACTTGTAATATCCCTCTCTCCACAGTATAAATTAGTGGAAAGAAAACGTCCTGTCGGTTTTAGTGCAATGATTTTAATTGTACTGGATTTTTTACACCGTAAATCGTTTTTCGACTGGGCACTGAATGGTGATGACCTTCATTAAGAGATGATTTTCATCACGAATCTTATATTACGATTGTCATGACGTCTTTCGAACAGACCGATATGGGACTAGTGTGCTTCACTGAGTTCCATTTCATTGATTTATACATTGCTTGCTTGTTACAGGGTCCGGAAACCTTGAGTTCTATTCTGTCTACAGAGTAGTCGTTTCTCTTTAATCAGAAGATGTAACAGTTGTGTATGTTGACCTCCTAATTTCAATTGAAGTAAGTCAGTAACCCAAGATTTTCGCATTTTATTTTACAATGTATGCTGAATATGTCTTATCAACAGATGAATGGGGTAATGAGTAAATTCAACTGATTTAGTGAATAATTCTGTTTTCTCTTTCAAGCATTCAGTTTAAATTTGACCACAATCGCATACGTCTCTGCAAATACAGAATGTGAGTAGTATATGTAGTCTAAGACAATAAAGAAACAGGAAACATTTTTGTTCACAGATAATCTGTTTCATTAGAGGTAATTTTATGACTGTCTTAATCACCTTTGTAATGACTTGATTTGGTCTTGTGATCAGACTAGAGAATGAATCGTTTTCAACGTTGTTGGAAGATGGATGTCGTTGTTAGGTCTTCCGGAGTAATCTAACCTTCATCATACGGAATTGTAGCTTTTTATGTGAAGACCGTTTCCTCCCAGAACTAAGTTTAATTGGCTTTCTCCGGGTAACGTTATCTTACTAGGGTTTTTCCTATGGGGTGGTAGTGTTTGTAATCCTACACCTAACTCTTCTCGTTTACCCCAGTTTCGGACCGCCAGCGTCCCTAGATAATATTCAACGTAGTCGTAGATTTGATTCCAGGTAACAATTGTTGTCTTTTTTTAGATCAGTTAACAAAAGGCACCGAAGTACTTGACAGTTTTTAGAATTTTTAAACTGTGTTTACACTTATTTATTTATTGAGGTGTCTGACTTTATAAGTCAATTGTATGTTCATTTGAATTGTTAATTTGTTTCTTGTTACTTTGTACGCATAAATTAGCTTCACTGCAAGTCATCCTATTGTAAAAATATCTCCACGTTATGCTAAACCTAATGAATTAGAACAATGTGAAGTTATTGCTGTCCTCGTCAATGGTGATGTAATTGTTTTGACGAGTAATGAACATGAAAAGTTTTCATTTGATCAATGTATTGTAGAAAAGTAAGTTGTAATTTTGTTGAGATGGAACAATGTTGAACTTCTATGCGTATTTTTTTTCATGAAGATTTTTATCAAATATTAGAACATATTAGAGCATAAATAAAGATTAATTATTTCTATCAGTTGAAGTTGCCCAGAAGGTGTTATATCAAAAAGTAACCATGTTCCACTTTCGTTTTACCAAGTCGCAACACCTGTGATTAATGTTAGTGTCCAGCATGAAAGAGTGTTGAATAAATTGGGTGATAAGTGTTCGACCCACCTAAACTCGTGTCGCATGATAGTATCATTTATTTAATGGTCTCGAAACACAGCATATTTATGGAGTACCAAAAGTTTGTTGTGGACATCAACCAGCTAACTCAATGAAATGTTTAGCATATTGAGCTAAGGTGTTCTAGTTTTGTCAAGAGTAGATCTGAACTACTCGCACCACTGTATTGTGTATCCAACCTTTTATGACTAGACTGATGTTACGACGATGCTATGTATTACTGAGATTCACATAAACCACTTGATCGTACGCTACCCAGGATAGGTTTTTCCTGTCACAAAGCCATAGGTAACCACACTATTATTTGTAAAGTCTAACCACCAAAGATGAATGGATGTAGAGTGTTTTACAAGCCATGTAACAATGCTTCACGTTTCTGCCGTTCAACGCATGTAACATGCTTATAGATGGAAACTGACGAGTATTGGTAGCGGAATGGCATACTGTTCATTGTCACTTGCACCACGTATTTGTGTTACAGATAAATCGGAAAACAAGTTGGTCACGAATGGATGAAACAACTTGTTTATTTAAAATGGGCAGGCTATTTGTCAGTGTTTAAAGTTCCCTTCAATAAAACTTTTTAACAGAAATGAGTTTCTGAGTAAAATATAGAATTAAATTTCAATCACTAATATAAAATGGTTTTGTGTATTATAATATAAAGTTCTTAACCAATTGTTTACTATAGACTTACCAGTATTTCGTACCATTGTAATATGTGTGAATATTTGTGCGCATAGATTGAATTTTATGGCCTACTTTGAGGACAATCATTCGAACTTTTGTCCTAAAATTGTAATCTACAAGATGGCAGGTGGTAATGAACGCCATTTTCTTTATTTTTTGCCATTAGATGCCTTGTGCATAGAATAGTACACTCCACACTAGTATGGACTAAATTTTTTAACTGTTAACCAGATCTCATTATCATGATAATTATGCTTGTCCTTATTTCCATTCACATAACTTCCTGAAATGTTTAGGTAATGCTATTGTTATTTTATTTTCTAAATTTTGTTCCAGTGGTTTATGGTGCTCATCTATAGGTACGAATGTTGTTGGAGTTTTCACCACACGTTCAGGCATGGCTTTTATATGTAGACACACTGATGAAGTAAGCATTGAGTTGATTTATTCGCATAAGTGCTATGTATATGGTTTGTTTCTAATACGTCTGGCATTAACTGTTACTGACTTGTTGGGCGCTTCTTATAACGTCAGATTACTTCTACATATGACGAATAGAGAAAATAGGCGAAGTACATGCAAGATGTTTACTTCAAGTTTAATCTACGTATGGGAAGTTAACTGCATTCACAGAGTTTGATGCGACTTTGGTGTTCTACAAACTAATGAAAACATTATTATATGGTAATGTATAATTAGCTACCCAAACAAAGCGTTGTACATGATCCTTCATTTTTCCAGATGTTTCTGAGAAGCTTCTATTCAATGCCGATTTAGCAAAACATTTTCAAACTTTTCATGAGTTTCTAGAGACTTTGTTGAATGATATTCGTTTCTCGAATTTCCTATTGATGCAAATGAGAAATTCTTGAAAAATGAAATCTTCCTTTTTTTCTTGACTCATTGTAAAGTAGGCACTGGATGTGAAGTACAATTATTGTTTTTGTAAGAAATATATGGGTTATGCATAACTGTTTTTCTATGATATCGATGAGTCGCTCTAGGTAGGGATCTTTATCACTCAATATTAATTTGTACGTATATGGATAATCAGGATTCATCTGTTACTACTACAACATATTTTGTTGGATAAATGTGGTTTTATGTTTGTCCTTATTGGTGAGAGTTTGTCTTCTGAACAGTAATACTATGAAGTGCCATATTGTAAGCAACTGTGGTGAGTAGAACACAATTTTCTCCTTTGATTACACACTAAGTCACATCGTCACTTAAACCTTTGTCACTTCAATCCTGCAGTAAGAGAGCGGAGCAGACTGATCTTGACGAGAACGCTTTTTCTGTCACCATAAGGAGTGGAGAAGCCAATACACGTGTCCTGTTTATGCCCAATATAAGTCCGTATAGCTGGTTTTGTGCTAGAATATTTGTGTTCTGGTTAATCATAGTATAGTACACGGTCCTCCATGCATAGGTGGATTGAGCACAATTTGAACCTGTAAACAAATGACTCAGAGTAGTATGAATCGCATAGTTGCTATTGATGATAGATAATTAAATGTAAATTTCATGCGATGACTAATACAATTTACAGTCCTCTCATCTGATTGGATGTGAATCATGTTTCTTACACAGTTGTGATGTGTATGTAAATCACGGTTTTATTTCCAAAATAATTTATGATACTTGTTTCCGTTGTCATCTTTCATGTAAAATGCTTAATCTTCTTTTTAGAGTCGTACATTTCACCGTATTTCTGGATACATGGGATCATGTGAAAAAGAAATGTGGATAAATACATTGAGTGTTTTATCTACCGTACAAGCAGAAGGCAGTCATTTGTAAGTACTTTGTTGGAGTGATATTTCGTATTTAAATGTGATTATTGTGTAATAGAAGTAGCTGGATGGAAAAAAACATTATGTAATAGTAATTTTAATTGTGAGACTCCTTCAATAAGTTTATTCTTATTGATAATGTATATCGTGAAATCTTTCAATAGCGATAACGCGCAAAATGTATGGACTGTTTTCACACATCACTTTAAAAGTACATTTACAGTGGAAATTTATTTGTCTTACAGATATACTATTGGAACCGTAAATGCGATACTGACGATCACAGAGTCTATATGAAATCTATAGTCAGAACAAGGACAACTTGGCCTCAAACTTTATCTGTTTCTGAATGTAAAATCAATTAGATCAGTACAATAATTAAGGAAATTACAGTTATTAAGTGAAACACACAAACATACCGACCAGCATTGCGCGTCTTATCGAAATGAATAAAATTATGAGTCACACTAATATAATAGGGTAATAATGTCTTTCAATTGGTAAGTCACATGCAACAAGGATAGTTTACAGACACATCAGACCAGATCAACGTGGTGGGTGCTTAAACAACGGTTCTATTGGTTAGTTATGGACATAACTGACATCCCCCAAGCGGAAACCACGTCCAGACTTCGTTACCTTCGCACTCAAATAATCGGCCTCTTCCAGTAGACACAGGTTCCGTATGTCCCGGCTGATCTCTTCGGTTGCTGTCTTCAGTCGAACAGTTCTGACTCATCCATCTGGACCATAATTGACCTGTCTAACTATAGCTTTCGGTCACAGATTTCTCGGTGATCCAATATTATTTACCAACACTAAGTCTCTCGCTTGTAGACTTCTTCTTATGTCCAACCACTTGGATCTCGCCTGAAGGGTTGGTAGGTACTCCGTAACCATCTGTTCCAGAATAGGTTGGTTAGTTGTATTTGTCGTACGTAGCATCTGTCTTTGATCCAATCGGGTTTGTAGCCACAATAATACTACTAGCCAGATTGATGTTACAAGATACCTGTCGGCAGAAACTAGATTGCGATGCAGAGTTACCCATGGATTGTCAAGCGAAGTGGGATATTTCGTGTAGACATATGAGAGAGTTGAACTACTTTAGAATTCCAAGATGCCTGAAACCAAGGTTTGAACTATCATCTGCTCAAATTCATTGTTTTGCCGATGCTTCTGAGGTTGCGTATGGTGCTTTTACGTATATTCGTTATAAAAGTGTTTCTGGTCAGATTCATTGCTCATTTCTGCTAGCTAAGTCCACATTTGTTCCTCTAAAACTTGTCACTATGCCCAGAATGGAATTAACAACCTGTGTTCTGTGTACTAAGATTGGAAAGCATGCAAAGGAACAGTTAAATATTCCCATTTCGTCTGTCATCTATTGGACGGATTCGTTAATTGTGCTTTATTGCATAAAAAATACGACTAAAAGGTTTGAAAAGTTTGTGAGTCACAGGTTAGAAGCTAAACATGCGTTGTCTACGCCGAACCAATGGAGATACGTGAAAGGTAAACTGAATCCTACGGATCATGCGTCACGTGGACTATCACTTAGTGATAAGGCTAAAATAAGGGAGTGGTTATAAGGTCCGGGATTCCTGTGGGAGGTAGAAGATAAGTGGATTAACCTAGTAAAGCGAGAGAACACTGTGGCCCATGTATTAACTGAACATTTCGGATCCTCGAAATGCAATTGTGAGTTTTGTAGATCGATTTAGTAACTGTAACACCTGGTTCAAAATGCTGAAAATATTCTCTCTATGTAAACGGTTCGTCGACAATATGAGGATGAGATTAGACAGAAGACCGTTAATTCTTGGTAGATTGAGATTGGAAGAAATTGATAATGCGAAGCAGGATATAACTAAATTGGTTCAAACGATCTCCTTACCCATAGAGATGGAAACATTAAGGCAAATACAGCATAAAGACGAGCATGGTAATACATATGAGTCACAAGAAAGACCGAGGAGAAGTAGGTGGATGTGTTTCGAATAAGGAAATAACACTCCATCTAATGTCTGCTGGTAAGAAAATGTATATATATCTGTAGGACAAATTAAGTCCTACAATTTTTGAATCATCTAGATGGTCGACAGATCACACGTGCAATTTTCTACTGGATAATTACCTTTTTATTATTGTTGTATTTAGTATGCATTTTGGCTATCAGAGTCACTCCAACTAGCATGAATACTGACGATTTTCTGCATATACCGTAACTTTTGAGTAAAACTTGCCTTTGCACTTTACACATTTTCTCTTGTGTTCAAGTCTTCGTGTCGATTTAGTGCAAGGCTATTAGAAGCGGCTAGGTTATTTGATCGAGGCGTTCGGTGAAAAGACTTATCACATAGATACATTGATCTTCTACACATTCCCTTCAATCAACCAACATTTTAATATATACTGTGATTTAAAGTAACTTATTTCAGAGAGCAGTATGCAACAGATAACATATAGAAAATCTGTTGTCGTCCAATTATAGGTGGTAGATCAATGTTGTTTTATTTGTCTAGATTGGTGGTCCAGAAAATCGTCACTTCCTTTCGAGTTGTGTATATCTCACTATCACCTGTGTGTTGAGTTCTTTGACCTACAATCACTGATACTTGTAATGTGAATGTTTAACAGTAGTTGTCGTTTGTGTTTCTTTTTCATTCAGATTGTATTTGGCTGAATGTCATCTTATCAATTGTTGGAGAATTCTCATTTGTAATGAAAATGGTGATTTGGTGACAGATTTTACAGTGAGTTTTTATGCCTAATATATTGTTTACGTTGTACAAATGTAAACATTGTTGATAATATGTCTGGTGTTGGCTCTCGATTTCTGTGGCGTATTTCTTCTTATTATTATTAATAATATTCTAATCCTTCAGTCAATATTTGTACGTTTTATTCAATCCGATGTAAAGTGTAAAACTACCGACATCATGGTGAATTCCTTCTTTTCTCTTTGGAATAGCTTGATAATTCATCAATAAAAGTTACTGGATATTGTGCGAAGTTACTATCACCAACTGAAGACAATAGTTCAACATTGATCTATCTTATAATTGCAACATCAGATAATATTTTACGTGTTCTAGGGTGTGCAATAAACAATCCAATCACAGTGGTGAATTCAAAACAGTGGAAACAGGTAAGACTGGTATGGAAAAAGCCAACTAATAAATATGTTCATTTTGTGCATATAATCTTCACCTATCTGTACAAATGAATGAATGAATGTTGTTGAATAATGTTAGACATAGTTAGTTATTTTGGTTAATTTGTCAGTTGACAATGCAATGAATCAATGTAACCCTATTGAAAATATGTAATTACTCATGTCCATGTTTGCCTACATAAGTTGAATTGAATATCTGGTTGTTTGCATGAGTTATTGATTGTGTAATTCTAGAATTGTAGTTCTTCCATTAGTTCATGTTTACACCATTGGTCAATATAAACATGCGAACCCAAACTATATAGTCTGCAGCTATCAACCTGTTTCAGATTAATTGTGTAAGTGACTTCATGAATCGATGTCACGTTTATAAGTCAGTCAACATGTATGGAATGTGTGATGACCAGCCGTACTTTCTATTTCACTTAATTTTCCTATTTCAATAGTCAGATGTATTAATTCAAGTTACTGTATTGAATGTGTTCAATTTTTTCAATGATGAATATCATTTTTTCTCTAAAGGTTGCAATGTATCCAGTTGAGACAGAAATCACTCAACTTTATACTCTTGATGGTGATAGTCAATTGAAAATTCTTGCCGGTGATAGACAAGGACAAATTCATTGTTTTACATTATTGTGATATGTACACCTACATGCAGATAGAGTCTGTATGTTGTAAAACTGTATTATTTCTTTTGGATAAAAATATTTTCCTGTTAATTTTGCTTTTTATATTTTAACATCGAGCTAACTTCTTTCTTTCACAATTATTTCCTTAATAATATGTGCAAATGAATAATCATGAGATGGGATTGTCTAATGTCATTTATGGTGATCATTTATTATTATAACCAGATTGAAAACATGTTAACCTGTTCTTTTAAAATGTATTTATTTCATAAAATGTTTTGTTCATTGAGTAGTGGGTAGTGAATTTCAATCAGTCGATATGTTTCTTAACCTATTTCGTTTAAGTGATCGTTGGATTATGATGGAGTGCATTCTAATCTTTTAGAATTTCAAAAGATAGACAAATAGAACTGAAAGATCTGTATTGCACATAAACTCGATATTCTAATCAGTGAAGTGTTTTGTTTACCATTATCTTAAACATTCACAATAGACTAGTAGAGAGAAAGGGAGAGTTTGTGGATATCAAAGTAATTGAATATTGTGCTTATTTTCTGGACTAAGTAATAATCAGTTCACTTTCAGAGAACATATCGACAATTGTGTAGGATGTGATCATCTTTGTCCCAAACTCATTTTCTACCTAGTTAAATAAACTAGAGCGACATAGAAACAAGGAGAGGTTACATGGTGAGGCACAGTTATGTAGAGATGAATTGACTTTTGAAATAATTCAGCAGAGCAAGACAGATGCTTGTTTTGATGCAGTAGTAATTTGTGATAGGCGATCAACGTTCATGAATGTGTATAATTTTCAGGTGATTTGATTTGTTATCATAAACAAAATCACAAACCAACTATGACAGATATTCGATTGTTGGAACTGCCTAAGCTACATTAATTAAAATTAAAGACAGATATGCCTTCGAAATATAGACTGAATCATATCCTAAGGATCAGTAAAATTTCCGTATGAATTTTCCTCACTTTCCCAAAAATAGTGATACTGAGTAGAAAAATGTAGTTGTTGTCACATCCTCTAGTTGACTACGGCAGAATACGACTTACAACTAACGGTAATCGAACGTGTAGAACGCTACAATCGAAAACCAAAGACGTAAGAATCTAGGAGAGTGATTTTTAGGTAAGACACAAAAATGTACAGAAAGACATGGGCATTTATGATTATTAGTATTGGGTATAACATTATTATAATCCGGCCAACCCGCAAGAAGGTGAGCTATGCTACTGTCGAATGGCAGCGTGCCACGTTGACATTACAAAAGATGCAGGCAGGTCAAACACGTCACATCAAAGGTTTATCGTAGCACAAATTATCTTAAGTTTTCTGTTGAACACAGACGAGCGAAATAGACTATAAATGAAGAACATGTATCTGAAGGAAAATCAAATGACAGACGGTGACCACTTCAACTAACCACTAAAACCAAGGACAAAATACATGGCTCTTAGGTGATGTGTCATATTATGTGGTGGATTAGTTCAAAATGGGAATTTTGAACAGCATTCACGATATCTGCGATTCACCTATTTTACATACAGATACATCTGTTGTTTATGCTTGATCATTTATACACACTAGTACAACCGTTTTTCTCCATTAAGATATTAGGCGAAACAACAGACCAAGCCTTCAACTTATTTGGATACATAAACATGTATATGATTTTACAGTGTCATCAATATTCTAGCTTCTGTTGATGTTAAGGCAATAAATCAGCATTTCATTTTTTAAATTGAATCCATGAATAAATGAAACGGGTTGTTACTCACATATTGCTTGATGCCAGACAATGGACTCCATTTGAATTGGTTTTTCTGGAAAAGTCGGATACTTTTGCAGGTGAAAATGTCCTTTGACGGTGGAAGCCAGCGAATAACGTGTGACCCGATCACTCTTAATATCATTTCTGTTCATGCACCAGAATTCAGATCACTCCACATGGTCTTCAAATTTATCCTCATATAAATAATATACAACCGTCCGAGATTTTACTCGATCGCGATGTCAGTACGATGATTAGAAGTACTCGAATTAACGTACAAACTTAGAATTTCCGAATCAGTCAGAACTAGATGAGTGAATGTACTACAAATGAATGTACTATATTTGCAATTCGTAACCAGTGCGCAATCAAGTACGGGGGAATCATCAGTTAGTACAATTACCACAGCTACACAACCGAGCAACTCCTACACTTCACCGACCCTACCCAGTGGTGAGACTTTTACAAGCACGCCCTATGCTGCCCACATTCACTATCTACCAGTAAACACATTGACAACACAAATGTGCATTGTTTTAAAATTATATTATACAATATCAAATCACATTTGTACAACATTAGAATCAGATTGTTGTCCAGTATTCTCTTCTCATATTCTCCTTCGTGACCTGCCATCTTACCCCTCCCTATCAAAGGAAAATAATTAGAAAATACAAATAAGCATCATTTTTAAATTGCATTATAACACGCATTTAGATTATACTAATCAGCATGGTGGCTGGCAAAACAGTCAGTATACATGAGACCTTAATTTGATAACTGTTATCCTAATTATTATAACAATCATCATGTAAGTTAAAATACTAGGCAGCTAATCGAAGATATGATGATCGTCATAATATTTAGTGTAACAGTTATGTGAAAATATAACACAAAATATAACGAGTTTATTATGACAATAGTCATCAAAATACTCAGGAAAGTAGGAAGCATGATATTCCGCACAATAGGCGGAATAATTGTTCTCATTAGCGAAAGTAGAACTAAAACAATAATGGTGAGAATGGTCGCAGCCATAATTGTAATCTTTGTACTAATGATCTGAACAAAAAATCACAGAGGAAAAATAGACAGCCGTTCAGTGAGTGGCCAACTTTCAACTGATTTTTCTGACTGTTGCATGCTAATTAATACATAGAACTGACATTTGAATTTACACGATCGATACCAATCAGGTGACTGCCAATCAATTAACTGTATATTCAAATTTGCTTTAGTCTGTATATATGATGATGATGATGATGATGATGATGATGATGATGATGATGATGATGATGATGATGATGATGATGATGATGATGATGATGATGATGAAAATAATGCGACAAACAATTGTCAGACGTGTAATTAAAATTAATTTTTATGCGATTCCTCATGGTTTCTGTTGTTGATTGAAAATCTCCACTATTCATATTGGCAAACAATCTGACTCGTATGGTGACATATATTCAGTGATTTTTGTAACAACAAAAATAAAAACCACATTTTTTCATGTAATCTGTCACACTTCATTTTTAACCACATTTTTATTCAATAACTGTTGTTTTGCTTGATCACTTGGTAAAAAGACGATGATAATTGTTTCGATGAATTATATGCGATTCTACTACCGCGTTGTTTAAAATGTAGAACACTGTCTCCGCCTTTTGTTCTTCTGTTTTATTGGCCAGCGTTTTGATTGGAGACTATAATAGTATTATAACTTCATTATAGGCCTTCCGACTCAACGTTGGAATTTTGGCGCGGATTTCTATTGTATAATACTATTGGACGCCGTCTTCCTCATTACGTCATTGGTGCAGTCACTTGCAGAGGAACATCTGTCAATCAAGTTAACTCAGTTTGTGGTCGTTGTTCTCACGAGGCAGTTTACAAGTAACATTCATTCTACAGTAACTGTTAGTGTCTGTTTGTTTAATATACCTTTTGTATTGCTAACCGTATTTTGTTACCTTTGGTTTTACTAACGGACAGACATCTAGGTTTCTTTACTATTAATTTTCTTGATATATCATTAATAACCTAGTGTGACGATATATTTTGTATAAGCTCCTATTGTTTGGGAACCACCACACTCGTAGCTTATCTATCCGTGAATGTGTAGAGTATTCAAAACTTTATGTTCATTTAGTGGATAAAATGTGACAAAAACTTATTCTGAAAACTGTTTCCATTGTAAGTCATTATGTTGAGGAATATAAACATTTTATATGACCGGTCAGAATGAGTTACACCTGATATGCTCTTAGTGAACATATATATATATATTGGTCTCGGTCCAGCTGGAGACGTTGTAGTTTGTTGTTTTGAGGTCACTCTATTATATTTCTGTTACCATTTGTGTAGTTCCGTTATGGTGAACGAGAACGAACAGGTGGGACAAACAAATACATTGGAATACGGAATTACAGAATGCCTTAATTTAGTAAATTCTGACTGAGAACCATACAGTAAATTATTCATTTGCGAAATGTCAATCAATCGTCTCAGCCTTGACTATTCCTTCGTTTCCACACCAATTCATTACAGCAAGTATTCCCTCCAATTAGGACCAAAGTCCAGAACTGTATCCACACCAAATGAGACCAAAGTTGAGAACTGTTAATTCTATCGAAGCGTCCAAGTAACTCCGATTGAAATACGCGCAAAATCGAAGTCCCAAAACAACGATTTGTCTACAAAAGCGCTTCTTTATTAAATAATACACTAAATTTAGTTACAAACCTCAACTTGTGAGGTATCTAGGCGTTTCAACGTGTCGTTCAAGAATTAAAATAGCAAAGGCTTCCTGTAAGAGTAACATAAAGAATGATTACAACATACGATAGTCCAAAGACAGCCGATAGCTGTGTCTCAATTTGATAACAGTTTATGAACAACCGAAACTCGAACCAAGAGCAAACAATAGGGAAACTGTTGCGTTTAAACAAATGCATAAAACTGTGGATAACCGTTACAGCAATTAAATTACAGTGATTATAATGATAAATACAATGATAAGTAAAATAATCGTTAAAGATATATGTGAACATTTCAGAATGTTACAGTACAACCTGAGTTACAACATGGTAGTGAAAATTGTTGGGCATACAACTGCTTATTGAATATAAATAAGTAGTATAAACCAACATACAAAAGGGTAGGAAAGGAATGAGCAGGAACAATGTAAACAAACTTAACAGTTACTATAGAATGAATGTTACTTGTAAACTGCCTCGTGAGAACAACGACGACAAACTGAGTTCACTTGATTGACAGGTGTTGCTCTGAAAGTGACTGCACCAATGACGGAATGAGGAAGACGGCGTCCAATAGTAATATACAATAGTAATCCGCGCCAAAAGTCCAACGGTAATGAGAAGAATTATTCCGCCTATTGTGCGGAATATCATGCTACCTATTTTCCTGAGTATTTTGATGACTATTGTCATAATAAACTCGTTATATTTTGTGTTATATTTTCTCATAACTGTTACACTAAATATTATGACGATCATCATATCTTCGATTAGCTGCCTAGTATTTTAACTTACATGATGATTGTTATAATAATTAGGATAACAGTTATCAAATTAAGGTCTCATGCATGTTGACTGTTTTGCCAGCCACCATGCTGATTAGTATAATCTAAATGCGTGTTAT